AGATTGTACCAGTACCAATACAGCAGGGTAAACATTTTAAACTATATCCTTGAAAATAAATGAGAATTAATATGGGTAGAAGAGGAATGGGCCCCATGATGGTGTCTCCACCATACTGTGGCGGTGGGGTTTGAGTGCTCCTGAGACTCTGAGAGCTACGCCGACGGTAGCGTAGCTACTGGTAGGACCACCCATGACGGACAGGTGAAGGGGTAGGAGCTAGACGAAGATGGATACCCTGGTCCTCAAGGTTGGGGGTTGGGCATGAGGCTACCAACCTCACAGCTGAAAAAATAAATTGTTTAGAAACCAGATAATCAGCCTCGAATGGTTGGATTGAACCAAATCGACATCAGCGAAGGAGAGGAGGGGGGGAGATGAAGAATAGAGAAGAATGGAGGAAGATCGTTAGGAGGACAAAGCTCACCCTGAGCTGTAGCGCTGAGGGGGAGGAGAAGAGGGATAGGAGAATGGAAATTTATATTAGAATATGTTCTTTTCAATGCTGACAACGACGCTACCTGTCGATAGCAAGAGGAATCACAACGCATGTTTCTCCTGTTTCATCCATTACCACAAAATTACTTCGAAGCAAGAAAGCAGTACTCATAAAAAGAAAACCATTACCGCGTTCTGAATGTCATTTGTTCTGCTGCCATTTTACGAGAATTCACTTCACCGTGACTGAGAACAATGTAAATAAAAAGCCTATGCTAATCCACCCGAGCAATTCCTTGATGTCGATAAGAAGGGCGTAAGTAAAAAAGTAATTACGCTGGAATAAGTGGAGTAAATACATTTCTACCGATAGGATTCCGTTATGTAGAGCTAAAAGCCTGGAACTTTAATTTGTTTTTGGTGTAAGTCAAAACTCATAATTTGACTTAAGCCCTTCTTACCGATGACTGACAGACTGTTCCCATCGTGAGGAAACTACTCGCGTTGGTAGTGCTGCTATTAATTGATTTAGTTGTGGTGCCAAACGAGGACAAGACACCGCCTATAATTGCTATAAGTGCGCCTTTTCTTTTGGAATTGCAGGAAGAGAAATTTTCAGGGAAATGTAACGAGTAAAGGATGGAGAAGCGCGAAACAGATACTAGATGGGAATAAATGAATTCAGAGATCGTTCGGCACTATTTCAGGATAGTGCCATATTTTCTTTATTGCTAGTGGGGTGGGACTAAGTCCCTCGTACTGCAGCCATATGTGGCCTATTGTACCAGCACCAGATGATAGGTGAGGGTGATTGTGGAGCAATTGGTGGAATGAAGATTGGCATGGGGAAACCGAAGTACTCGGAGAAAACCTGCCCCAGCGCCACTTCGTCCACCACAAATCCCACTTGACCAGACCCGGGATCGAACCCTGGCCGCCGCGATGAGAAGACAGCGACTAACCTCTTGAGCTATGGCGCGGCCTAGTGCCATAACAGTATAGGATTTTAGGTTCTGTCAGTGTTGCTTGTGAAGATGACGTCCGTTGAGAGTCAATCGACGTTTCGGAGGACAGTTCAAACGGACTACATTGCATTATATCCCAGAAGACAGAGCTCTTCAAAGCCGTAAAGGATTTATGTCCTTTCTAGAAAATTCGTTCTTTGTAAAGAGCAGGTCTTGGAGGTGGCAACAGGAATGCACTTTGCAAGTAATAGCTAACGCATAACACTGCATATGCTCACTGACAGACGGCCTGATGTACTCGTTAAATTCATAACATGCATTCTAGTTTCTTCGCCTAGGTTATTATTATTTCAAGCAATGGGTGCATAGATGGGGAGGCCATGTAGCACGAATGAGGGAGAAGGGGAATGCATATAGGTTATTGATGCGAAAGCCAGAAGGAAAGATACCACTGGGAAGACCAAGACGTAGGTGGGTGAACAATATTAAAATGGATCTTAGAGAGATAGGATGAGATGTTACGGATTGGATTTATCTGGCTCAGGATAGGGGCCAGTGGAGGGTTCTTGTGAACACGGTAATGAACGTTCTGGTTCCATAAAATTCTGCACAATTGACTGCTTCTCAAGAAGGGCTCAGCTCCATGGAGTTAGTTAGCTCAAGCTAAATGGGCTTCATTTTGAATGTCGTTCACTTCGGACGGTTACGTCATCAACGGTGTTCGCCTCACCGTCAACATTGTCTTCACCGTGATTATGATTATTATAGTCACAATCATCATCCTTATTCCTGTATTGTTCTTGTGATCTCGGAAACGTATATCAGGAAACTAGAATTTTAGGCGTTCAGTAGAAAGTAAGAAGAACGAATTGTATGGAGTCCATGTCTGTCCGTGTGTGATTTATTATCAGCCCCTTACACACCCGCGCACAAATTTTCACAAAACTTTATGAGAGACTTCCACTGAAAGTCGACGGTTCGGATTTTCCGCCATGTTGATCCATAAGAGTGGGTCACAGTGGCCGCGCGGTCTAAGGCATGAAATGTCTTCGACCGCTCGAACACTGGGATCGTGGGTTCGAATCCTACTCAAGGCATGGATGTTTGCGTTGAATCTGTATTTGTGTGTAGGTAGCGGCCTTCTGACGTGCTGCTTCCCAGTCCAAGGAATCGTACCGACTAAAATTAAGAAAGTAAAGTGAAAGAAAGTTCCACGGATGCCCTATGCTCCAAGTTGGAGCAACAGGAATAGATAGATAGAATAGATAGATAGATAGATAGATAGATAGATAGATAGATAGATAGATAGATAGATAGATAGATAGATAGATGAACGGACGGACGGACGGATTGATGGATGGATAGATAATAAAGCATGGTTTACACAAGGACACAAATGAATTTCTCCTCATATACCATAAAGAATTTAATAGATTTTGTTTAAATTTCATTCTTGAGACCAAAATTATCAGGCAATTCTAATTTTGTCAGAATGATATGGTATAGTTTCCATAAGGCCATAAATGGACTTTTCCATGTGTCCCATAAATTCTCTCGTAGATTTTGTTAGAATTCGGTATGTTATGGGAGACTCACTAATTTGCATTTAATTTTTTTCTGCTTTTGACCAAGCTTCACCAATTTCAAAGAACGCCATTGCTAATTCGGTCTACTACATTACGGCATACACGCCTTCCAAGCTCCCAGTTTGAGGTAATTCTAACAAATGTTGATAAAACCTACTACCGGTACGACTAAGCGGTATTGGCTGGTGACCTCAACGCTGGAATAGCACTGAACCAGTGTAATGAACCGCTGCATAGCCTAGAAGGAGCACAGGAAACGAAATTGGGAGAGATAAGTGGGCATTCCTTCATTTTCTGAACTTTCGAATACAAACGCATTTTGTCAACATGAACAGATTCATTGTATATAGATGTGAGAGAGGAAAGAGAATAAACTAATTAAAGAAGTTAGCTCATGCGGTAATGCTCCTGATTTGTATTTGGAGGTATCCGATTCGAATCTTGGCCGTAACACCTGCCATCCTAACTGACGGTATTCATTCTACACTGGAGGGAACGGTAATTGGTAGGGGAAATATGAGTTTTCGAAGAAAAATTTGTCCCTTACTGCACCTAATATTTCCCGCACGACTCATGTTATAGCGGTGTACGAACCGTTATGAAACATAACACGACATAACAATCTACACATTCCCACATATACAGGATATGCACATACCACTTCTACAGACACCTGTAAGAAAAGGATACATTGACAACGTAATATAAACATGAATATCTGTCTAGATACTTCGCCATCACACAGTAACATATTTCCCATCCGCTTAAAAAACGACCTACAATAAAGTTTTCATATATTTTACTACAAGCCGGAAAGTCGCGTGTTCGAGTCCCGATGAAATCATTTGATTTTTCAATTTTTCCAGCCGGACTATGGTCCTGGAGTCGATTCAGCCTCTAATAGAAATAAATACCACAACTTTTCTTGGGAGATAAAAGACGGTCGGAGCGTAAGGCTGACAACCTCAGTGCCATCTGTGAGCTGATTGTCTAGAAAAGTGTGGGATTCTCGACGTCTCACATCCCTATGGGCCTCAACGGTCTGTCACAGGGATAGCTTTGCCTTTGCCACTTTACCCATCTCAACTGCCACATGGACTGTCCTGAGATTGGAGCTAGATAACAACAAATATCGAGGTTCCCGCAACAGTGAGTGTGAAGAGTTCTATCTTCTGGAGTGTAACGTCGTGTAGTCTTTTGAAAGTCATGCATTCCTCTTTATTGCTAATTTATTGCTTGGCTCATTCTTCATTCCTAAAAACAGAGTCAATATATTTCTCCGAAATTTCGGTTGACTTCCAACGGACTACACGGCGTTATATCTCAGAATATAGAACACTTCATTAATAATGTAACATGTCTCTATAAAACAAATAATGGAAAAAAAACCCACATCATTTTCCTTTTGTTAATTTTCCTTAAAATAATATTACCAGTTAAAAAAAGTGGCTATTGTACATTTTTTCCGGCGAATCTCTTGCAACATTTCGGTGTGAATGGGTCCGAGGGTTCCTCATCTGATATATGTTGCTTCCGCCCCTCTCTGACTCGCATTTTCTCAGAGTAATCAAGCTGGAGTGTGACAGCATTGTTCAGTGGACTGTGAGATGCAGAAGAGAGCGAGAGAGTGTTGTTCACAGCTCAATGACATTGTTACAGCCTATGATGGTAGTGCCAGCGCAAGGTTGAAAGTTTCTGTCGCGGAATGAAAGTTTTCTTCACAGGTACAATTATTCTTGCAGGGAATTAAGACTGCAGCATTTCGTCTCATCTTCTTGTCTTTTTATACCAGTTTCTAGACGCTCTTGGCATTGGATTTTCGTTTACATAGAAGTCTTCATATTTGTGCGCGTTCATAAATGCATGTAAACATGTATCTTGAATAATGAAATTCGTACTTTATTATTGTTAAACGTTTATTATGCTAGGAAACCGCATGTGATCGCTGCAGTGATACAAACAGTTGAAGAATGATCATGAAACACATCTGTGGTACCCATAAAGTCAATTGTTGTGGAACGTGATCTGTTAGAAACTGACTGAATTGGTGATACTTATTTCTTTCTACATCAGAGCGAAACTCGTTGAGTATTATGCAAGTTTCGGAACTGCCTACATACTGAAAGACTGGTGAGTGACATGATGAATTCGGAATTGTGGTGTTACGTCATACGGCAGTGACAAATGAAGGTCAAGATCTGACAGGAATTTGCGACTGTATTGTGAAATGAGAAGTTACAAATCTGTTTCAGTGACACGTACAGGAAACATGTGACAGGCGTCTAACCATTCTCGAAGATCTTCCTTCCTGCAGATGAACAAACCCTAATGACGTAACCTTCATGTCATTCGTACTGCCAAACCTTAAAAGGAAAATCATAGTAGAAGAACGTGCGGCGTAAATTGAAATTATATTTTAATGAATGTCAGGAGACATTTGTTGTGACGTGGACTTTATTTTGAGTGATGATGCATCCTTCATAGATACGCCTTGCTGGTACTGTTAGATCTTATTTGCCGGTTGTGGTGGTGTTGTTGAACTTTGACAAAATGTTAGGAAATATTGAACTCGGAGCGTGAAAATGAAGTTTTGCGGACTGCCGGGCGTCCTTGGAGCCCATGTCGTGTTCTGGTGTTGCAGTGTGGTGAGTTCAATAAGCACTTCCCTTATTGCATGTCTGTTTAGGTATCTTGGTCTTTCCATGAAGCGAAAAAAAAAAGGAAAATCTTGCTTAGAAGTTGAGATTTTTGTTATGTTTTGTATTGAGAAAGATAGGTTAGCAAAATAGATGCGCATAATGCTTTTAAGCACAGTGGTAACTGTATATACTCGTATCACAAGCTTAAACATTAAAAGCTCTACATCCTCTGACAGACTATTTGTATGCTCAATGTGATTCTTGGAACAAGCAGGCATTTTTTCCCTGAACAGAATTAACCGGTCGGTCTTTATAATGGAGACTCATTGTGTATCCTCTCAGGCACGAGCTAATTTTCTTAATATTATTCAGCTGAAATTCACGCTTCGAAGATTTGAAGTGAGACTTTGGGGCTCGTACTTTATTTTTGAATACTTACAAATAATTTTGTATCTCACTAAATAGTCACCAAAAGGAAAGCGAAATGCTTCGGAAACAAATTTTAGAACGAAGAGATAAAAAATTGGAAGGGGGGGTGTAAAGGAAAAAGAGAATGGATTGTGAGTTCGCTGTAAAATGTTAAACAGAGAGCGAACTCCTTTAGAAGTTCAGGGATTTTCTGTATTCAAAATTTTCATGAAGTAACACGGAATGCGATACTTCTTTTGGCTTGTTTTGGACTTCATCGATCGTCTGGTATGTAAAAGATAAAAAACACGACGTTTCGGAGACTGGATCTGTCTCCGTCTTCAGGTGGGTAGGGAAGGATAAACCTACTCAGTTGGGCCCGTTAGAAAGAGCTAGTCTCAATCACTGGACGGAAACAGATCCAGTCTCCAAAACGTCGTGTTTTTTGTCTTTTATATACCAGACGATGTATGAAGTCCAAAACAAGCCAAAAGAAGTACAGTGTACACCATCGTCAGAATCCTTTCAAGTCTAACGGAATGCAGTGTTTTAACATTATTCCATAGTATCATATTCTTTTTGTTTAGAACGAAAAATACGAAAAGACAGGCGTTCTGTTTGGTTGTAGTAACTTATTGTTGCACCTGTACAATTATATATATGTTGCATTTTAGGAAATATTTTTAAAAGACGCCGGTGAAAATAGAATAATATTCCTTAGTAGTATAGCTTTTCTTTTAGAAAAACGAGAAAGAAATGAACAATTCATGACATAACAACAGTACAACGTTTACAAATACTGTTGCCTGTATGGGGATCAAGTAAACGTAAACTAAACAAAACGTAACAATACTATGTTATTCGAGATACTAAAACTGGGGGTTACAATGCGTAATAATTTATTTTTTTAGATCATAAAGGTCTTTCCTAAGTTTTACGGCATATACTGGGAATAAAGTAAAGCAAAAAAGAAATGCAAGAGAACATGAGGTTTGTTGCTGGCATTACAAGAAGGATGGCTGCTTTTCCACTGAAGTTGAAATGCCTACCGCCTCTTTTGCCGTTTCTAAGATATAAGGTACTAATGATCTTCTTACCAAATTTCTTGACCTAGGATTTTGTGTACAGAAGTTAGCTGACATTTTGAGTAGTAAATATTTAGCACAATTCATTTCAGAACAATTTATTTGCTGCCTCAGTTCCAAAGAGTTAGTTCAATATTTAATACCAAAATGTGTACTCAGTTCTATTACATTCGGTTGCATCTAGATGGCACTGAATGGTGCGTGGTAAAATGACCATCATGTTAAGGGCCCTACACACGCTCCGGTAGACCTGTCAGGTGCGCCTGCACAGGCGCGCCTGCGCAGGTCGACCGGAGCGTGTGGATGATAAAACGTCGCAGTTATTGTGACCTGAACAGTCCGCCGGAGCATATTCGAAAAATCATTAGACGACCTGTGCAGTTTTGTACCTGAACCAGGCAAACCGGAGCGTGTGGCGAAATGGCCATCCTCATAACGGTATCTTTCTATTTTAATTAATGGGGCAACTAATGACAGGAGCTGTAAATAAGTTTCTTCATTCATGCGCAAATAATTGTGCCAATCTTTAGGGACCAACTTCAATTCACGTAACAAATTCACATGTGAATAAACGTTTCTTTTCATCAACCACTCTTTGCACCAGGTTTGACGCTTACTTTTCCGTTTGAAACAATTTGTAGCTACTAATAAGCCAAACAGTGTACACCCATCGTCATCTGTAGATGCCATGTCCGACCGTAGCAAACACGCAACTGAAGTAATATCGGAAAAGTGTACCTGAGCGTGTGGGCGCACTGGGGTTTTCAGGTCGACCTGCGCAGGCGCACCTGTGCAGGCGCACCTGTGCAGGCGCACCTGACAGATCTACCGGAGCATGTGTGGGGCCCTTTACATGGGAGTTTTTAAACCAAACACACTTTCTCTGAAAAAAAGTACCTATGTTACGAACATGGTATCATAGATAAAAAGGATCAAAACTCTGTTCTCTGAAAAAGAGTTCAGTTAGTTGTAAGAGAGTAATTAAACTTATTTTTCTTTAGATTATAATAGTTAATTAAAAATACAAACTTAAGAATTTGATAACATGTCCATATTCACTTCTGCGTCCTTTTGAATGAGACAATTTCATCGCGTTTTCTATTAAAAAAAAATCGAATGCAATGTGATGTAATCATGGCAGTGAATTTCAGATTACGGTCTTCTGGGGTATGATGCCCGTATGGTTTGGTTAATAAGTGCGTTTCGGAGGAACCAGCTTCCCCCATCTTTAGAGTATAAGGGACTAGAGTAGTTACCAGCCGCTTATCAGTCTCTTTAGAATATAAGCGCGGTATAATGAAGTAACAGAGCGATGTATAGTGAGTATGCGGCTCACACGTTGCAGCCTCTGGTCTGTGGGAAGATAAAGGAAGACGTAGCGGAACGAAAGACAAGTCAAGGCGTATTGACAGGAGAGGGATGCAATTGTGTAACTCTGGCCTCTGCAGAATAGATGCAGATGTTTGCCAGACAAGCAGCGTGTCTGATTTGTTATTCAGGGTTCACCAAGTTCAAATCTAAGGCCGCGTCGTAGCTCAAGCGGTTAGTCGCTGACTTCTCACCGCGGCGACCCGGGTTCGATCCCGGGTCTGGTCAAGTGGGATTTGTGGTGGACAAAGTGGCACTTGGGTAGGTTTTCTCAAAGTACTTCAGTTTCCCCTGCCAATCTTCATTCCACCAAATTCTCCATCATCATAATTACACGGGGCAGGTACAACAGGCCAATCAGTGGCTGCCGTGCCGAGTGAACCCAGTTGGACTCCACCCCCCACTAAGTGAATTTAAAAAAAAAAAAGTTCAAATCTCGTCCAGAGAACTGAATGAAACGTTGATATTTGTAGCGAAATCCAGGACAGTACTATGAACCAGGTCATGATGTTTACTAAAGCGATATGGAGAATTCACTCACTCACGGAGCTGAGCCCTTCTTGAGGAGCCGCCAATTGTGCAGCTACTCAAGAACTTCCCAGCATTTTATGGAACCCGAAGGTTCATTACAGTGTTCACAAGAGCCCTCCACTGGTCCATATCCTGAGCCAGATCAATCCAATCCGTAACATCTCATCCTATCTCTCTAAGATCTGTTTTAATATTGTCCACCCCCTTACGTGTTGGTCTTCCCAGTGGTCTCTTTCCTTCTGGTTTTCCTATCAATATACTCTATACATTCCTCTTGTCACTAATTCGTGCTGCATGCCGTACCCACCTTATTCTCATTGACTTGATCATTCTATTTATACTTGGAGAACAGTACAAATTATGAATCTCATTATGCAGTGATCTGGAGAATTAAAAAAGGAAAAAATGGGCCCATGTTACTTTTCTCCGTCATCCTTTCCATCTCGTATTGTCCGAAGATAAATGAATTCTGCATTTTCAAATAGCGGTTGAAACACTCATGAATACTTCCTGTTGTAAAGTTTTGCTTATGCGTTACCGATTGTGCTATATACTGATTATAATTATTTTTGTCTTCTAGATCCAAATTTCAGTCTCCGAGGCTACTGGGGTGATTGAGATTTTGCGCTCATAATGAACTATTAATTTTTTTTAAGTCATACGAGTGTATAGTAACGATTTATTTCTGTTTAAAGTGGACTGTGTACATAGTTCTTAATGACAAATTTATCATACTGTTCAATACGGTGTAATGGGCAATGTTATCTGGAACAAATTTCGAGAACTAACACCGCGTAGTATGTAAGTATTGTAAGATTTGAGGTTTTCACGGCGGTGAATATTAAGAATGTCGTCTTCTGGGGGTATGGCGCTACATCCTAGAAGACAGCATTCTTTATGTATGTATTGTTCCTTAAAAGCAATTTCCCTTCACGAAATACTGTCACGTGTAGGGGGTAAGCGTGAGGAAATGACGGGTTCTAGTTCGGATGATTGGATTTATTAGCAACTTTGTTACACACTCTCTTTTAGTTACACTTAGATACAGGCAATACAGCGCTATCGTTGAATTACGCACTTTCCAGTTCACCGTTGCACACGCACTAGGATTCTCTCTCTTCCACTAGTCGTCTCCTAGCAACGGATCTCCACACAGAAACTGTCCCTTCAAATCACTCCAAATATTGCACATAATTAAGGTCTTATATCAGCCTTTAAATCTTCACAGGTCTTCTACGAATTTCCCGTTGTTGTTACTTAAACACACTCAAACATTCTCTAACACCCCTAAATACTGAAATTTGTTCTGTCTATAAATGTCGTTATATAACTTCCGCACTTACCATGCAGAAAACAGCCTATATTGTTGGAACGTGTTTATTGAGCGATTGCATAGCAACGGTCGCGGCACGGACTCCATAGAAAGCCAGTTACGTGATAGCTACCACTGTTGCATGACGTCACAGCCTAGTGTGGAAGGGTTTTTACCGAGCGTTGAGTAACAACGGGCCATTTATTTATTAGAGCCCTTTTTAAAACAGTCTGATTTGCAAACGTAGTAATGTACGGATTTAGTCTACTTGATGTTGTATCGTTTTAACACTCTTATAATTT